GCAAAAGTTGTGACATTCCCAGTAACATGATACATTGCTGATGCCAATTCAGTCTCAGCTATTTTAACAAACAGGGCATACTATCAGTAGATGCTTCCATATTTCATCATAGCAATAAGAAAGGCAAGTAATAGAGGTGAGGAGAGAGACCAAAGACTTTGTCTCTTTCAAAGCTCAAAAGGGTGAATCTGGCTGTCACTGTAACAAAGCACCTAAGAAAAATCAACTGAAAAGAAGGAAAGGTTTATGTCGGCTTATGGTTTCAGAGGCTTTGGTCTTTGGTCACTTGACACCCATCATTCTGGGTCTGTGGTGAGTCAGAAGATCATGCGAGGAACCTGGGTGGAGCAAAGCTGCCCACCTCCTGGAGAGATGGGGGAGGGAGGGAGGGAGGGATGGAGGGAGACAGAAGCTAGGGTCCCAGTGGATGCCCTTTAAGGACACTTTCTAAATACTCCACTTTATCCAACAAGCCCCCACCCCCTAAAGTTCCCATCACCTCCCAAAAGCTGGGAACCAAGCCGTCCACATAGGAGCTGTCAGAGGACATTTAAGGTCCAAACAGTAACAAATAGTACCTCCTGAGTCCCCTGCTGAGGGGAAGGTAGCATCGCTTCCTCCATAAGGACCGAAGACTTGAGCCTGCCCTGCCCAGGGCTTTGGGCTGGCAGCAGCCCCCTGAAGTGGCTGAGTAAGTGGAGGAGAGCCTGCAATAGCAGGGGAGAGGTTCCAGTCTGTGCCACAGGCACAGGGCCTCACCCTCAAGGCTGCTTTACACAGCTACCAGCATCCTCTGCTACCCAGCTCACCTCTTCAGATAGCTGCATTGCAAGCCCTGGGTGCTGGTCTGTTCCTCAAGCTTCAGTTCTCACCCACCCCTGGATTTTAGGCTTGCAAAAATACAGATTATTGAACCTGACTTCAGAAGTAATAAATAGAAACCTGCAGGGAACCAATGACAGACCAAAATAATGATACCATCAAAGTCCAATTTGGTGAACTAATGAGTTTGAGTTATTGACAGGCGTATGGGTGAGGGGGTTACTTACAGGAGCAGAAATGACTCAAAGACAGCAGGATCGCCAAAGCCACCCCAGCACGATGACAGCTGATGAAAGCAGGAAACCTGGAGCGCCCTGTAGACAGCTCTACAGTTTGCAGAGTGGGTCTTCTCTCAGCAATCCTCCCTGCTTATATAACCTAGGGAGGGAGGGGCCTTGTGAATCTGGTAAATCTCAGTGGTTTACTTCCCAAGACTTAAAGGGCCTCATGTTAGAACCTCCTAAGTCCTAAGGATCTTCTCTCTAGGATGGAATACTTCAATTCCCAGGAATTTGCAACATAACATCTCTGGGGGTCCTCAGGCACAGAACAGGGAGGTCACCTGCCATTACCAGGGGTCCTGGAACATGGGTTCTGAGACAGGCTGAGCAAGGAATGGCCAGCATACTTTTGTTTGGGGAGGTAGATCATCATACCCCATTCATGGGGCAAGGTACCGAGTCTGTTTGACAGCACACATTCAGCCAGCCTGTCTGGCCTTTTGTTGTTGTTCATGCTTCTATGGTCACTTTTGTTCAGAAATCCTAAGTCAGCAAGTAGGAGGTCTCCACTCTCTTCTTGTTGCAATTGTAGTGCATTAAATGCCTGTCTTGCTGCCAAGCTAAATGCTGTTTTCAAGTTTGGAGTCTTGTTTGTGTATTTTAAATAAATTTGATAATTAAACCACAAATGTGCCCAGCACACTTGGACATATTTAAATTACAGGCTTCTGATCTAATGGAGAACAATCACAAATATGGGCATAAGTGATGCCTTTTGTTTAGTGCCTTTCACAGCTCTCAAATGGGTCTGCCAGCTTAATGGCCAATTCTAAAGCTACAGGGAATGAGGGAGGGGGAGGGAGGGGCTGGCAGCCAGTCGACAGGAAGAGAAACTCCCACAGTGGAGAAAAATTAGGGTTCTTTTAAAGTAAACATTTCATTTATGCCTGTAATTCATCATAATAAGCCAGTTTAAAAAACACAAGGCTGGAGGTGTAGATCAGTGGTAGAACATGTTCCAAATGTGTGAGACAGTGGGTTCTATCCCCAGCACCAAGCAAACAGAAAGTATAAATAAGCTGGTAAAGGGGTGTTTGTCTCTCTGGCTGGCAGTACTCCATGCCCACAAATGGCAGCCAGAAGTCCACTCCCAATCACTGTGTAAGAGGGCTGTGAGAACCATACATCCTGGGTTCAAGTCTCCTCTGGTGATTGCTGTGGGGTGTGTTTGGGAAACTCGAGGCCCAGTGTGTACCCTTACCATGGTCTCTCTATAGTAACTGCTCATCCACTACCAAATAAAAATCAAATTCAGAATCAGTAAAGAGAGGCTTGGTTTTGTTTTTTTTTTTATTTGAAAGATTATTAGAAGAAGGAAAGATACTATAGCTCTGGAACAGTAGAGAACTTTGGCCAGAAGGTCTACTGTTACGGAATTTGGGACCACCAGGAAAGACTATCCAGAGTCAAAAAGTTCAAAATCAGCCGAATTAAGCTTTTACATTTTTATTAGAATTTTAAAGAAAAAGAAATCCTCAGGCCAGCAAGCTGGTAATCTTAGCAGCTGCCTTGAGGAGGTGAATGGTGGGAAGAAAGAAAGAAAGCCATGAAGCCAGGCAGGTTAAGAGCCTGGGTGGGAGGTCAGACACATGGCTGACCAGCAGCCACATGGCTGGAAGAAGGAAGCTTTAGAGAAAGTAAAGAAATACAAGATGCTAGGGGCTACCTTAAAAAAAACATGTTTAATAAGAATGGCATGAAGAAACAGGGACATTACGCCTTCTGAAGGATTCAGGAGGACAGACTTACAGAGACCCACATGACTGTGGCTCCTCTGAAGTTCTGTGCTAGGAGGCAGATTCCAGGCAGGAAAAACTCACTATCTCACTAACACTACGTATTCTGCCCATCTATTTAGCATGAGCCGGCTTCCTAGTCAAAATCAGCCGAATTAAGCTTTTACATTTTTATTAGAATTTTAAAGAAAAAGAAATCCTCAGGCCAGCAAGCTGGTAATCTTAGCAGCTGCCTTGAGGAGGTGAATGGTGGGAAGAAAGAAAGAAAGCCATGAAGCCAGGCAGGTTAAGAGCCTGGGTGGGAGGTCAGACACATGGCTGACCAGCAGCCACATGGCTGGAAGAAGGAAGCTTTAGAGAAAGTAAAGAAATACAAGATGCTAGGGGCTACCTTAAAAAAAACATGTTTAATAAGAATGGCATGAAGAAACAGGGACATTACGCCTTCTGAAGGATTCAGGAGGACAGACTTACAGAGACCCACATGACTGTGGCTCCTCTGAAGTTCTGTGCTAGGAGGCAGATTCCAGGCAGGAAAAACTCACTATCTCACTAACACTACGTATTCTGCCCATCTATTTAGCATGAGCCGGCTTCCTAGGGGTGGTCCTATGACCAGATGATTGACCAGTTAAACTTACACAAAATGGAGGCACTCAGGGCACTACACTACAAATACCCTGAAGGTTAGACTAAAAGAGCTGTGTGTGTGTGTGTGTGTGTGTGTGTGTCTAAGTGCACGCATGCACGCAGAGGCTAGAAATCAATGTCTTCATCAATTGCCCTCTATCTTTTAGAAAAAAATACTTTAATTTTTTATGCATATGAGTGTTTTGCCTGCATGTAAGTGCACCAGTGTGTGCAATGCCTGTGTTGGATCCCCTGGAACTGAAGTTATGGAACCGACAGTTAACTGTTTGCTGCCATGTGGGTACTGGGAACTAAACCCAGGTCCTCTGTAAGAGCAACCAGTGCTCTTAACCACTGAGCCATCTCTGAACCTGGATTTTGCTGATTCCGTTGGACCGGCTGGCCAGCAAGCCCCAGAGATCTCCTGTCTCTGCCTCCCCTGTCCTGGGATTACAGGTGTCTGTCCCTGCACTTCACTTTTTACATGAGTACTGAGGATTCGAACTCAGATCCTCATCCTTGACTGAGCCATCGCCCCAGGTTGAACTTTTCTTTCATAGGTTAGAAATCCAAGGCTAGAAAGTCCCAGGGATTAGTCTGAAAAGGTGGCCTGCTGAGTCAGAGCTTTCTCACCTGGGGTCAGCGTGTGTGTGTACTGTGTTGGCTCCGCTGACATTCAGGGACCCACATTTGGCTCTCCAGCATTTTGTCCTAATCCGTGGGGTCAAGCAGTTTGGCTAATCACATATTAAAGCGTGAAATTGAAAAGCCTGTCTGGCCTGTCACTGGGAAAGGAGCATACCGATGAAGCAAAGTCCTATGGGAAGGGTGGTTTTCTGCGCTAAACTTCAGCAGCAAACAGGGACTCACCACGTGATGGAGTTAAGGTAATCAGGGGGATATGTAGCAGCTGGGCTGTCAGTGGCATCCCAGTGAACCCAGAGCCTCTGAGAACCTTCTGTTCCTAGCTGGGGATGCTTATTATACAGCTAATTATGATTTTTAAGGTTTTCAAAGGGTCCCTCTGTGCTTGTGTATGTACACTAGCATTAATCGTTGAATATGGTGATTGCTGCAATGGCCTTCAGCAAGCCTGTTTCCTCATCCACTTTGCAGGATGAACCCGACTCATCTTGCGAGCAGAAATGAATTCTCTTTGCTTTTCTAGTCACACTCCAAACCCAGGGCCAGCAGTATTTGCAGGGAGTCGGTTGCTGCAGCAAATCCCAACACCTCTGGAGGCCCCCAATTGCGTGTGATCAAAACCCCAAACTCCCGCTGCCTTCCACACCACTCAGCATCAGAACAGCGGCGGCAGAGCGTCCAGAGACACTAGCCTGCCTCTCGGAGGCCTCATCGGAACCAACGGAGCATGCAGTGCTTGTGGGTTCAAATTCTCAATGCGGCCACTTTATTTCCCTCCGCCTCAATGTGCCACTCTAAAACAGAAGAACTAATCAAAACGGCCTGTGTGCGAATTCGCTTTGCACCATAGGCCCCTAGAGCCCCGGCACCTGACGCTTCACGCACACTGGGCTTTCTACTGGAGAGGGCGGGGCCTGGAATCGATCGCTCCGGCATCCTCTAGGCGTCCTCAGGATCAGCCGAGCCTGGAGCCATCGATCGATACCTCCAGTGACTAGGAGGCGGCCTGTGGCGTGTTCGCGCCGACGGAACCAGCCGTCGCCAGCACCGGGGCGACACAGCCAGATCCAAACCTGAGAGGTAGGTTCCTTTGAGCACCGAGGCGCAGGCGGCTCGGGCTCCTTAGCCGCGTGGTGCCCGGGCCGTGAAGGACGGACTGCGCAAGCGCCTCGGTGTAGGACCCGGTGTGGACCTCGTTTTGCGCAGGCGCCCTGGGAGGCCTGGCAGCCGCTGGAGATAGCGCATGCGCTGTAGTTCATTCCCGCGCACCCCACCCCCACCCCCCACGGGTCTGTGGAAAAGCCCCTTGCGCTTAGTGTGCTTCGTGTGCGTCTTAGGGCCGTCTTGGGGCGCATGCGCGAGGCTCGTCTTGCGATTGATTTGCTGTGAGCCTGCGCCGTTCTTGTGTTGCGCCTGCGTAGCTTTGGAAAATGGTTTGTAGTGACTGGTCTCGTTTGTGGTCCGCCTGGAGGTGGCTGCTTCGGACGCGCCTGCGCTAATGGGGCCGAGTGTTAACCCCGCGCGCGGGAGCAGGGGTGGACTGGTGAACACCGCCGGGTCTGCACGTTGCAAACCCGCAGGCGTTGCCCAGCACCTCCCTGCAACCCCCGGCAGCTCCAGACACAGGGCTGCACGCTGCACACCCGCGGCCATCGCCCAGCGCGGGCCCGGCCTCCCTGTAGCTCGGGACACAGCCCACCCGGGGAAAGTGGCATGGCCACCTCAGGCTTGAGACGTGCCGAGAAGCACCGTCGTTGCTGCGAAGTTCGGTTGCCCAGCCCGCCTACCTCCTACCCGACTAGACCAATCGGGAGGGGCGTTAGAGCCGCTGGTCTTTACCAATGATCTGAGAGGATGACTACATGCTTCCTAGAAGGCTGTGTGCTAGGACCTCCAGGAACCTGCCGGGTCTGTGTTCTCAAAGCAACCGAGACCGCTTTCTGTAATGCATTCCGGAAGGTGAATTTAGGAAGTAGGGCTTGAGGCCATCCGGCCTGTTACACGACCTGTTCTTGGGTCCTAGTGCTTGATGTGGGCAGCAGGTCACCTTCGGTAAGGCTCATGTTAGCTCGCTTGATTGAAGGCCAAACGACGAAACCACTCAGGTTAGGTGGCGCTCCCGTTATCTGACACCCTTTTCCAGAAAGGGTGGTTTTTCACACGAACTCATCTTTATTTAAGGGACTTTCAGAGTTTGGTCAACAGAGAAAAGTTTCACAGCCTACATCTAGCCTTTCTCAGAAAGCTGTGCTCTGTGGCCTAAGGCCAGGACTAGTGGCTTCTGAAGGCTGCTTTGCAAGTTCTGGGACAGAAGACCTCCCAGGCAGTTTTCTATAGGCCAAGCCAGCCCTTCAGAAAGCCTTCTGTGGCCAACATGAAGTCTTTAAGATCTGTACCAGATCTGTTGTCTCTGGAAGAACAACGGGTAAAGTGGGGATCCGGGCCATTGAGGCTTTTACATGTGGTCCATGCTTGGGTGACTATAGGTGTAATTTTGCCTAGAGTAACCAGTTTTTATTTTGACCAGGCACTTTAATAACATCCTGGTATAGATGATAACCCATAGTTAACCCACGTACACCTGGCTACTGGAAGACTGTTTTATGCAACTCACAATAAACCCTTTTATGTGGTGCTCTGGGAAACCAATTTAAAGGCCTGTACATGGAAAGTTACATGTGAAAGGCAGATTTACACAACTTACACTTGACTCCCTCATTTGGTTAATGCAGCCTTTTCTAAGGCTGTTCAATGAAGAGTTATAGTAATCCTTTACATAAAGCCAGGTCACAAGGCCACCAGGCTGGCTTCTGGGTCAGATCAGGATGTAGGGAGAACACAGGGATGTTGGTGTGAAGTCTGGACATGTCATAAAAAAAGGCAGATCCAGGGAGTATGTACCTGACCTTCCCCAGAAGACCTGCAAGCTGCTGGTTGCATGAAGGCTATATTTCCAGTCCACACAGCTCCTCTGGAGACTTTGCAGAGCCCAGGAGCACATGTGAAGCTGCTTCCTGACAGTTACTGAATCCTGGTGCTGTCTTATAAAGAAACCATAGAAAATTGATGATAAAACTAAGGCAGAATCTGACTTCACCTGCATCTGACTTGTCTGACCCTCAGAAAAGTCCCACTCTATAAGGAATATTTTTTTGTTTGTTTATCTTTTTTTGAAACAGGATCTCCCTGTAGCCCCAGCTGGCCTGGAACTCACTATGTAGACCAGGCTGGCCTTGAACTCACAGAGATCCACCTGTCTTTGCCTCCCAGGCGCTACAGGCATGTGCCACCACACCCAGCTTAGGAATGTTTTTAAAACCAGTCACAAGCCATTTTGACGTTTTGGTTGTTAGCCTTAGCCATTAATGGCTGTGCCATCTCTCCAGCCCACAAAGCCTGTTGGAAGGATGGAAGTCTGTTGCTCAATACCAGGATAGTGGCTGTTTAAAAAAGGCCGAATCATGAGAGGTTCTGGGAAGGCTGTGGAGGCTGCCTTGAGACTGCTGAAGACAAGCATGCCACTTCACCATGGAAGGTTTCCTCATGCCAGCACAAGGCCCCGTGGATAGCTTGTGTTTCATACCAGTCAGGAGACCTGTCAGAAGCTATTTCTATTAGCCACTGATGCAGACTGACAGCCATTCTGGGGCTGAAACTTGTATATCTGGCTCCTACCTCTGGAAGACTCAGTGTCCACTGTAGCAGACATTCAGTGTTAGATTTAGGAGAACAGAAAAAGGGAAGGGGTTTAAGTTAAGAAGTAAGAACCAGAGCCAGACCTACAACAGGCACAGAAGGTGTTCCTTTACTCAGAGAACACAGCAAAGGGCTGAGGCCTTATCCCGGGAGTCAGGCATCTGCATGGAAGGGAGGGGCAATTTCCACTTTTATAGGACTTCTGCTGTACACAGCTGCAGGAGTTTACTTGGTGCCAGGGTTTTGTGTCTTTGGTTGAGGGTCTTCCTCCCAAGATTATTTTCTCAGGCAGGCGAGCTATCTTGGGCTGCTAAAGGAGACAGGTTGGCTCCATAAACAGTCTTCCTCAGTTCAGGGAGTGACCAGTTGATAAGGCTTGAGCAAGGCCAGGCTGCCAATTTAGGGCCAGTTGGCCACTTTAAAGGATTTATGGTTATATTGCTTTCCTAATTAGCCTCATGGCTCTTTACACATTCTATCACACTGAAGAGCTTCACAGTTTAAAAATGTACTAAAGTGGGGCAGTGATATGGCTCAGTAGGTGAATGCACTTTCTGCCACACCTCAGGGCGAGTTCCATCCCAGGACCCACATGATGGAAGGAGAAAACCAATTCCCACAGTTGTCCTGACTTACACACGCACACACACCATGGTACAAGTGTACCACTGGCAGGTATGTATGGACACATACATAGACGATAAATGTAATTAACAAAACATTTTAATTGCTAAGGCTAGTTTGGGTGGCTGAGAGAAGACTGTTACAGCCAACTTGAGGCTGTTTCCCAGAATGCTCTTTCACATGGTCCCCTCAAAACCATTGGTAAAGTAGTACAGTTTATAAAGACCACCCCAAGGCCACCTTGGGGGGGGGCAAGTGACATATGAGTCACTTTGGAAAACTGGCTTCATAAGGCCTATGTGACCCTAAAAGTGATCGTTTTATTTTTTAAAATATTTATTTTTATTTTATCTGTAGGAGTGTATTGTCTGCATGTGTGTAAGTGCACCTGTGTCATGCAATGCCAACAGAGTCAGAAGAGGGCACTGGATTCCTTTGGAACTAGAGTTACAGATAGTTGTTACCTGCCATATGGGTGCTGGGAATCGAACCTGGGTCTTCTGCAAGAGCATCCAGTGCTCTTACCAATGAGCCATCTCTCCAGCCCAAAAGTAATCATCTCATAAGGCCACCCTGAGACACCAGCATTCAGAGCCCATAGTCTGATTCTAGGGCACGTGTTTATTGCCCATTTGAAACTCTCTGGGAGATCATTTTACAATGCCACAAAGAAACCAGTTTTCAAAACTGTTAATAAGGTCCCAGTAGAAACCATTTTTTTAAAGTAAGGCAAGTGGTCTTTGGGGAGCCCTTCTTGTGGGCCTTTGTGAGAAGCCACAAAGTCCCTGTCTTGTGGATAAGAACATACTAGAACCGGGCATGGTGTTACACACCTTGTGTTACACACCTTTAATCCCAGCACTTGGGAGGCAGAAGCAGAGGCCTGCTTCTCTGTGAGTTCAAGGCCAGCCTGGTCTACATAGAAAGTTTCAGGTCATCTGGGGCTACAGGGAGAACCTGTCTCAAAAAGACCCAGGGCGGGGCAGGGGTGCATACTAGAAGGTTGGGCTGTGAACCACTCTGAGAAAGTTATCAAAAGCCAATGCATATTTATGAATCTTCTAGGAGACTGGAAGTCACCATTCTGTCAGGTTGGGTCACTGGGGTTTGCTAAAGTCCCTCACCTCACTGAGTGAGTGGGGAGTGATCCCCACTGCCTTCTGAGGATTTATGGAGGCTGTTGGATACCACATCCGAGAGTCTCATGGAATGCACTGGGAAGCTGAAGAGCATTCTGGGTAGGGTCTACTTACTGCATAGGCCTCACTGCTCATCTGAAAAGTGCCTGCCATGGCCTTTGATGTGATAAGGAAAAAGTTACAACTAACTGTGTTCTTTTATAATGTCCTGGTAAGCTTAGGCCATTTAAAGTTTCCTCTGTTTTACTCACTGGGTGGACGCCTTGAAAAGAAACTGTGGGATGCTCAGAGATGTTTTATTACTCCGTGGTGGTCTCACTACCCTGAGATGTTTTATTACGATGTTTTATTACTCTGAAGTCTTGAAGCTCTGTGGTGCTTTCCACTCCCTCTGTCCGACTGTTGATAAAGATGTAAAAACTAAAAGAATGGAAAGTTCACCAAATGGTTTAATGAGGCACCTGGTCCAATTAGCCCAAGAAAAGTGTAGATCAAACATGTCAGAAATCTAAACTTCTGCTGATGATATCTGAATTTGTAAACTGAAATGACCATTTGACCAGGTTTCAGCCCAGTTGCCCTAGCCTGGTTGTGAATCAAAGGGTAGCAAATGCCCTGACCCATGCCTGGAATATCTACTTTGAAAACTAGGTTAGCTGAGTGAACTCAGGAAGGAATTTCCTGAGATAACATGGCCCAACATTGAAGAAACATAGGGCCAGGTGCTAATCATAAAATAATGACAAAAAATTGACTATAAAAATCCTCATCTGTACTTCGGATTGGGGCCCCAGAATCTAATAAGCCTTTGTTGCTTACTGGGACGTCATGCATGAGCAGGAATAAAGAAGCTTTCCGACTCTCTCCTGCCTGAATACTTGGTCTCTTTGCTGTTTGAAGTATTTTTCCATAACAGGAGGCACACTAGACAGCTTCTCTAAAGCACTGATACTGCATGTGGGAAAGGCCAGAGATCAGCTATATTTTAAGCCCTGATTCAGCATGAGTGATTGCTACAGGAGTCTGGGCAAGTCATTTCATTTCTTCTTAACCTTAGTTTCTTCATCAGCAAAGCAGGAGGATGAGGAAATTATCTGAGCCCTGCCCACCTCAGTATGCTGAGGAACAAACCTGGAGAAGAGTGTTTGGAAAGCACAGTGCATGTTGGGCCTAAGAACCACTCTCAGGCTGTTTCTGCTGCTGTAGGAGCCCTGAAGAGGACTGAGATAACCACCAAGAAAGCTCTGTCCTTACTCCTTGTGAAGTGACAGGGTTTTTACCATCTGTATATAGGAAGCATAATCCCTTCCTCAGAGTCTCTTTGTAATTAACTGGGCTCCTCAGCTGCATCACCTGTTGGCTGATACTCTGTGGCTCAGTTCCCAGACCCTACACGATCTGATTCTGAAGGCTGACTATTGAGTTTGAAGCCTCCTCTTCCTACCACTTTGCTAGCTATGTGGCTTCCGATGTGCAATTCCACTTCCCTGCTTCAACTTCCCTTTCTGCAAAGTGGGAGTAATGTAAGAGTGATAGCTAAAGTGCTGGAGCATTCCTGGCTCACAGTCAATGCTTTATGAGGATGTTAGCTTTGCAGATTCACCCTGAGGGTTAAATGAGGTGTTGGGTGTTGTGCTCTCACCACCCTGCTGGAGAGGACAGTGAACAAAGAGGTGCACAGAATAGAGTTGGGCTGTCTAGCCGGCTTCACAGACCACCTCTAGCAGCCTTCCTCTGTTCTTACCTCCCGCCCTCTGCTTACTTCACCGTATGTCTCAGGCTGAAGGGAGTTGTGCTGTCCTGTTCTATGGGAGCCGTCAGCTGAGTCCTGGGTGCCATGGTTCAAATGTGTCTTGACAAATCCATGTGTTGGAAACTTGGCCCCAGTCCAGCAGTGTTGAGCAGTGCTGGGCTCATGAGGGCTCTGTGTTCATGGATGGAGTAGTCTACTTGACAGGTTATACAGGGTATGGGTTAGTTATCACCAGAGTGGCTCTGTCATAAAAGTCAATGTGGCCCTCTCTCAAAAGCCCCCTTGCCATGTGTTCCTCTGAATCTTCAAGAAGGTCCTCACAAGTTGCTGGTCGGTGACTCTTGATTCCTAGCCTCCAGAACCTTAGCTAGATAAACCTCTATTTCTTAATGAATTAGCCAGTCTGCAGAATTCAGTTAGAGCAACAGAAATTGCCCTAAGTGGCATATGGAAATTGGCATAATAGGACTCAGGGTGTCCCTGAAATTCAGATGGGGTGCAAATCAGATCTGATACTGCATGGGGGGTTATAAATGCAGCAACTTAATTAGGACCTGTTTCCTGGGCCAGGCATGTGGGTGTGGCTTAGCTCAGTCCTCTATGTTAGAATCCATTAAGGGGCTCTGGTCCTGTCTAGGCTTAGCTCTTGTATGAAGATCAGGGACCTAAGTCCCCAAGTTCTGTTGGCAGAATTCCACAGGGGAGGAGGGGTTGGGGGTGGTTAGGAGCTACTAGACACAAGGCCACTGTTCCTTGCTTGCTGTTGACCCATCTCATTACTTTGTCATGTGCCCTTTCCAGTGTGGTCATATGCACCATTAACACATACTAGCTGACTGGTCAGTAGCAATGCCAGCTGCAGGATCATGCGGTCTAATCACAGAATTAGTCCCATGGCTGCTCCCAGTGCCAGTGGCTGCCTCTTCTCTTGCTGCTGTAGTAAGTTACCACAAACACAGTGGCTGTAAACTGTTTGCACAGACTTCATACCTTGTGGGTCTGAGGAGGTAGAGTCAAGGGCTGACCTGGGTCCTGCTGGGCTGAAATCAAGGGCTCAGAAGGGAGGCCTTCCTTCCTGAAAGCCTGAGGAAAGAATCTTGTTCCTTTGCTTTTTCTCAGCTTCTGAAAGTTGCTGTGTTCCTCTCAGCTTGTGGCAGGTTCCGGAGTCATCAAAGCCAGCAGCCTTGCATCTCTGACCAGCTCTGACTTTAGCCAGAAGTGATCCTTCTAATGTAAAACATGAGCCACCCAGATAACCCTGCATAATCCTTCATCTCAGGGTCTTTGATCTCAGTCGCGCCTACACAGTCCCTTTTGTCCTGTTAGGTAACAGAATCACTGTTCAAGGGATTGGGATATGAATGCTGGTAGAGGGTTGGCAGCCTTGCATCTCTGACCAGCTCTGACTTTAGCCAGAAGTGATCCTTCTAATGTAAAACATGAGCCACCCAGATAACCCTGCATAATCCTTCATCTCAGGGTCTTTGATCTCAGTCGCGCCTACACAGTCCCTTTTGTCCTGTTAGGTAACAGAATCACTGTTCAAGGGATTGGGATATGAATGCTGGTAGAGGGTTGTTACTAAAAGTAATAATAGGCCGGGCTTTAATCCCAGCACTCGGGAGGCAGAGGCAGATGGATCTCTGTGAGTTCAAGG